GATTTAAAAATCTCATTCTTTTTTAAATTTATGATTTTAAAGTGACTCACATAAACTACAGTATTTTTGTAGATGACAGCTAAAAATTTCTTTTGAAATAAATTACTGAAAAATTACTTCACATTAACTGCAGTATTTATATAGTCAAGACTGCACTACAGAAAATCTACAGTGTACTGTAAAATAACTGCAAAAATACTTCAATTTTGTAGAAAAACTGCAGTTTATTTTTAGCTGGGAGCGTCTGCCGTAGCACCATTTTGTATTCCAGATTAAATTCCTTGTATGGGTATCCATTTGATCAGCATATTATCCAAATTTTGTTCCCAAATCTGCTTAGCTTTCCTCGTATAAAAATCTTACAAGAATGATGTCCGTAATACGGTACCATTGATTCATCAATGAATCATGTAATCAATCAATTATTCATCATCATATCATGAAAAACTCCGAACTGAATTAAATTTTACATAATTCATCATATATAGGAGCAATCTTTGAGAGCTTATCACCTGATTTCACATCTTTGTTGTTATCCACAAGATGAAAATATTTTTTTAGTTCGTGAAAGCTTGACCTGCTCCATTATATTCGAGAATATTTGAACAGACGTGTCCTCAGAAGTACTCCAATACAAGTCTTCTGAAGGTACGATGTGATATCCACTTAAAATAAGCAGGCCAAAGAACTGCTGAATATCCTTACTGGTAACAGTTATAGTTTTGCACCCCTTTGCAGGGTATATAACGTTGTCATATCAGCTAGCTGTTGCATATAATCCAAAGAAAGTATCAGAAGCAGAGGATCCATCTCGGGGAATTTTTCATTCAATTTTTCGAGGTTTTTTCCGTCAAGATTTTCTTCAAACGTTGCCTTTTTTCTTCCATCTGGGATAGGGTTCTTGTTTTCGCTTCTTTGCTCTTGGAGCCGAGCATTAAGGTGTGCTCTCCTTTTGATCTGAATCGTAAAGCTTGTCATCTGAACTATTTGAATTCCTATCGTCATTACTTTTGCTAAGCATCAGGTCAACCTGGCCGCAGACATCTTGAGGATGAACTTCATTTAAGCCTTCATCGCCTATATGCTCATCATCACTCAGATTCGCGTCTTCAACAGGTGGCAAATTACAAAGATCAGGCTGGTGTTCGTTATCAGATAGGCTATGGAAATAGTCCGACACAGCTTCTAACGTTAAAAATTTGCGAGGCATCTCTAGATGGTAGTTTATACGGAATGATAATTGGAAAACACTAAACGGATGAAAACTCTTTTATTCTGAGTCTAATAGTACTCTAAAAACACAATCGTTGGTACGTTATGAAACTCGGTAAAAGAAACAGATCGCACCTGCGTCGAGTCGTGAAATGAAAGAACCAAACACCTGTCCACAACACAAAACGGGGGGGGGGCTTGCGGACAGGTGTTTGCTTTCACAATATAGTTGTGAAAGAAAGAGAGGAATCGCACTCAAATTTTGGGAGTAAACTCCCTCAAATACTGTACTCCAAACGCTGATGTCCCCAAATGGGAATATCTCACTTTTTACGGAAATAGCTCACTAGAAAAAATAATTGGAAATATTTTATTAATTTAAAACGAAATATACGCCCCCTGGCTACTAAATAACGTTTTTCTATTTTCCTTTTTAAATTAGAGACCGAAAAACTTAAGAAAATTTTAAGTTCAGAAATTCAGTAAATTTGACTTTAATTCTGTAAAAAAGTTGAACATCCTGAATAATTTTCACATCCTAAATAATTTTCAAAAAAACAAACGGTAATCGCAATGACTAAATGAACAAAAATAAAGATATTACCCCCTGATTTTAAACAAATTTTGAGAACTTTTTTATTCGCAAACTCTGATTATTTCGTCAAGTTCGATAGTCATTAACGCATCACTTTCAATGCACATCACACATAGCCAGTTCCCAAAGTTCTGCGTAATTCATTTTTTAAATCAATTTTAGCTGAGAAAACGGTTGTTCTCCTTTACAATTTGTGATCATCATCCTCAAAAAAATTCTTAATTTTATTTCAATGTTGAGAAATATCGATTTTAAGCCTCCAGAAACAATTGTTTTATTCAATGTAGGAAGTTCAAAACTAATTTCTTCTGAATTTAAAAAATGTTTAAAATGGATGCATTCATTTAATATAACATCGTAATCTAAATCATTCTTGTACGTATTTACTATATTTCTGCATTTATCTCTCAGTTCATTGAATTCTATGTCCATTAGATTACTTAAAGAGGGAAAATTTTCCCCTATATTTTCATACGGTTCTCCGAGTTTACTTATATCAGTTATTAACGAGTCTAAAGCCGGTAGAAATGCCTCCACTTTAAACTTATCGCTTTCATTGAATTTGGTTTCCTTTCCTGGACCATCATGTCTCGTGAGACGTATACTTCGCGTTCTGTCTCGTTTAGCTAAATTCAAAATCGCAATTTGGCATTTTATTTCTGATCATTAAATTTCTCTCTGAGATCAAAAAGGAATTTCAAACTGAAAGATCTTATCAAAAAGTTTTGAAGCTGTACATAAATTCTTTCAGGTGATTGTAAAAATATGCTAGTTTTATTCACTCTTTCAAGAATATCACCCCATAAGATAGTAAAAAAAATTATTTATAATGTGCTCGGTGAGTTGATAATGCGAAAAAAGAATAGAATCTCTGGACAAAATATTTGACACCTTGCACAGAGCTCTCAGCTGCCGTAATTCCTATCAACCAAGTTAAGGCTATGGGCAGCACAAGGAACGTAAATTGCGCGCGGATTTAGTTCTCGAATTCATGCTTGCAGTCCAGAATATCGACCTGACATGTTTGCCGCATTATCATACGATTGTCTTCTGCAGTTCGATAGGGGAATTTCATCCTGGTTAAAATAGTTCACAATATATCCGAGTCTTTTGATGCATGGGAAAATATTGGAATAAATTTTAAAAACTGTTCTACAGACTTACTTCCCTTAACATTCCGAACTGTTAAAGTCAGTTGATCTGTATGATATCGCCAAGTTCCATTCCAGTCAGCACTATTTTGATTTTTTAGTTTTCACTTTCTGTAAATGTTGACAAGTCTTTCTTTCGCTGCGGTGCACTTATTTGTAGTAGCATCTCTGATAATGTCCCAAATGTTTTCAATAAAGTGTGGTTCCAATTGCGCCACAAGTTAATTCAATTTCGTTTCTTCGACTATAATGCCAGCAATCCGGAATTGGGTTTCATTTTGAAAAAAAAAAACACATTTCTGATCTTTCAATCCAGAATGGAGGTATTTTAATGCTAACAGCACTTGCTTCAGATCTTTTTCCAGGCATGTTTTCAACAACGCAAAATTCACGTGTTTACGATTGACCGAAGACACCAATATTCTTGTCTTTCAATATGACAATAAATTAAGAAATTTTATCTGACTGACTCCATTTACGTATTAATAGCACATTTATTTAAGTCTTTCAGTTACTAATTTTTAAACTTACATTATAACTTATTAGATTTTTACATAATTTCAGTAACAAACATGCGTATTTTTTTGAGATACATATTTTTATCAATCTATTGCAGTGGTTACAGTTTTATTATGACACAAAAATGATTGAAATTTAGTTTTAAAATATTGTAATTAGTACAATATTTTAATATAATTTTAACACAAACTACCCAATTAAGTCTGCATAAACCACGGTAGTTCATACTTTTTTTCGTTAATCACCTGAAGTAGGGAGTCTTAGAAAAGGCATCAGCGTTTTTAAGACACTGTTGAACATCGAACACTGTCTCACAGGAAAGTGTTCGATGTGTAAATCATATTTTTTGGAGCCCGAGAGCCCACCTTTGGAGCTTGGACGATTGAGGAGCATTGTAAACTATGAATGCTAGTGGATTGTGATCGGTCACAATTTTGACTGGGGATCCAAATATCCAGGGCTCGAATTTCTCTAATTCCCATACGATTCCATAGGCCTCTCTTTCAATAGTGGGTCAATTCTGTTATATTTTGAAAGTTTCTGACTAGCATAACACACTGGCATCGCCTTTCTGTTGAGACAGGCAGGCACCCACTCAAACCTGGGAAGCGTCGAAGTGGATGATGAAATGTTCGTTGGGTGTTGGAGTAATCAACTCCGTTTTCTTTGCCAATTTCTCCTTGAGACGTTGGAAAGCATTGTATTTATTTTCACTCGAGCATCTCTGGTTTTTTTTCCTCGTGAGTTCGTGAGTTCGATGCGACATCTGCATAGTTTGGGATGTATTCTCTGTAGTAATTTGTTAATCGCAGAAGACATTTCAGGTTAGTCTTCGTCTTAGGTGATTCCAATGTTTGAATAGGTATTATATTCTCCGGGTCATAATCAATATATACAGTAATAATCCCATGTTGCGGCCATTCGTGAAGCGAATTGGATGTGTGTTTCTCCTGAATATCGTTTTACTCTTCTGAAATTTTCCAAACAGGCTTGAGGGGTCAGGTCATTCTCCTTTTGAATCAGTGTCCTTACTTTTTCATAGTCCTTCAAATATTCTCCTTTTATATAAAACTAGAACATCAGCAGCTTTCCTGCCGATTAATTTCAATAATATCTTTGCTTTTAATTCGTTTGGAACATTCTTATGTTTAAATGCTCTTTTGATCGAGTCAAAAAATATATTCCATGCTTCCGCTTTCTTCGGTACGGGAATCGTCAAGGTCTCTACTCCTTTGATCAGTTTAATGATTGATTGATTGATGTAAATTTTTGGCGCAAGAGCCATGGTTTGGCTATACCGCGTCCAGACAGACCTAGGTAAAAATTACTGTAACTTTGTTAAAATCTGAACAATTAGGCTGAAATGAGCAACTTGTTCAAAATTAAAACTAATTTAAAATTTGTCAACTAGGTTATATCTAGAACTAAATCAAATTGTAAAATCCGATATGTTTGATGTACAGTATTAAATTAGGNTCCATTTATTCAAAATTCATAAATCTTGTGTTAAACTCTTCTGTTAGCTACTGAATTTTGCACGTAAACTCAGAAAAATCAAGAGTCTCTTTATCTTCATAAACTTCACTTAATTTCCGACAGCATGGAAAATGGGCCAAATCATTCTTATTTAAAGAAATACTGAAAACTTTTAACTTGTTTCGAAATCCACTTACATTTCCCATTAACTTTGACATCAGCTGATTTCTGCCCTGGAGTTTTGAATTCAAATCTTCTTCAGCACGACAGCCCCTGGCTGCCTCAACCACGCGTAGAGTCCAACGCCTCTTTTCCATTGCGACTTTTTTCCAGTTGTTAATCTTAATTACTTTGAGATCTTTAGTAATGTCATCCAGCCATCTAGTTGGAGGTCTTCCTCTGGTCCGAGATCCAGAAGGATTTTTAAAGGTGGCGATTCGTACTGCATTGTTTTCAGGACTTCTCCAGATATGGCCAAGCCATCTTAATCTATTGCTTCGGATGACCTGCACTATCTGTGGCTGTCCATAGAGTCTTTATAATTCAAAGTTGTATTTGATTCGCCAACAGCCTCTTTCCTGTACTGGGCCAAAAATATTTCTAAGGATTTTCCTTTCAAAAGCACCAAGAGTACGCAGAGTGTCTGCGTTTAGTGTCCATGTTTCACTTGCATAAAGCAATACAGGTAGAATAAGAGTCTTATAAATTTTAATTTTCCGACTGATTAGGCATGATGTTAATTGCTTGCTTAGTCCAAAGAAGCACTTGTTTGCCATTTTAATTCGGTTGTCTACTTCTGTTTTTATGCTGTTTTGGTCATTGATCATTGTTCCAAGGTATTTGAATTCATTAACCTTTTCAAAGGTGTAATCATTTATGAACAAAGGATCATGATTTACAGTTGTGGCTGGAGATTCCATAAATTTAGTTTTATCTTCGTTGATGGTAAGGCCTATATTTGTGGCAGAAGTTTCATGAGCCAGAAAGGCCTCTCTTACTGCTCTCTCTGACCTTCCTATGACATCGGCATATTCCAGTAATTGAACTGACCTATTCCAAAGGGTGCCTTTTCGGTTTAATCCACTATGAAAAGTTTTGTTATTATATTTATTAGTTTTTTCTAAAATTTGTTTTAGGGTGTGAATTTGATCTATAGTAGATCTTTGTGATCTAAAGCCACATTGGTAGTCTCCAGTCATTTTGTCGGTAAAAGGGAGAAGTCTTGTAAAAAGCAAGTTGGAGAATATTTTATATGCCGTATTGAGGAGTGTAATGCTCCTATAGTTACGACATTCGAGTTGGTCTCCTTTCTTAAATATGGGGCTAATGGGCAATTTCTCCGTATCCCAAATTTTAACCATGATATAATAGATTGCGTTAATAAGCTCTGGTTCTTCAGTTTTTAGTAGCTCAGGTCATCATTAAGGTGATTAGTGATAGTAGTGAGAAATGCCAATTCTTTTACAAAAATCGACACTTAGTATCTTTTCTTCTAGTTGCGTAGTATCTGCTGAAACATATTTTTTCAGGAATTTCTTTTCGTATTTCAAAGAATCTTTCAAGACACTTTCCTGCACTCAACCATCTTACATGATTGTACAGCAGCAAGTCTCCATATTCGGCTTCCATTTTCGCCCAAAACTGCTTTAATTGCTTAAGCAGAAGTGCTCGATTTCCACTTCGTTTCATATTAATAACTTTTATCACAAGTTTGAAAACTTGATTTTGTTTCACTGATTTTCAACATAAAGCTCCTCAATAAATAATGCAATTAATCGTCGGACAAATTACGCCATTTAATCCCCCTAATCAAGTTAGCACCCCCCCCCCNGTTACCCCCCCCCCCCCAACATCGCTAGTGCACCATCCGTTACAGTTGCTGAACATTTGCTAAGACCTGTTCGGCCAACTGCTTTTTTTACTGCTTCGTAGATGTCTCTCCCTTTTGTAACATCAGTCATTCGACACATTTCCAAAAATTCTTTCTAAGTAAAAAAGTCTTCCTGCGTAATGCACGTAAGTATTAATAACTTCAGCTAGTTTGAATCAGAAATACTGCATTTATTTAGATAGTATGAGCGTATTGCGCCAACTGAAACATTTTGACAATGAAACTCATCCCATTTTGTGTTTTATACAGCAGTAACTATTTAATCTTTGTAAGAATGGTTTCGATATTTTGTTTTGTTGGGTTCCAAGTCACGTTGGAAGCCCGGTAAATGATTCAGCACCGAGCCATCTGCTACTATTGTCTTAAACTTATCTATACTTCTCTCAGATATAAAAATACATATAAAGTATAAAAAATCTTTATGGCAGCAACAGTGGAATAACCAAGTGAATAACAAATTGCACGCTACTAAATTGAATTTGGAACCCTTGCCTGCGTTGCGACTACGTAGTGCAGATGTTAAAATTACCCGGCATCGAATCGAAAATACCATACTGGCTCATCTACATTTGTTTGGGGAACCTCCTCCTCAATGAAACACTTGTGATGCTTTACTTTCGATTAACCCGTTAACGCCCAACTTAATTTAAAATTGAAATTTTGTTAAAAACTTTCAAAATTATGTTCTAAACATTTAATTAAATATGTTGTTACATATGGCTTTATTGGAAATATTAATCCATATACAATGTTCAGCTTAAAGTGGACATAAACAAGGAGTAAAAAGGAACAAAATTACAAGGACATACAAAGAAAACACATGACAAACGCATATTAACACAAAAAGAACACAAAGATAAAATAAAAGTAAAAAAATATAAAGGGGAGAATGAAGAGTAGTCTTTACAGAGAGTTCATGTGATTTCTGGGATCCCAGTAAAGTTTACAGAGATCACCCCGCTCTTGAGATTGTTTCTCTAGTAAGGGGCATACAAGCAAGTGGTCTGAGTTCATGGTTTCCGAATTGCAGATTTGGCACTCACTAGATGGAAGGATACCTATTCTGAGCTGCTTTGCCAAGCAGTCACGGCCTGTTGAGAGTCTAAAGTTTGCCACAGCCTTCTTACGAGGACTGTGACAAAATTTCTTCCAACTGTTTTGCATGTTAGCCCAGGGTTTTCCGGTGGATTTTACTGTTTCGTTGCGCTTTAGGTCAGTCAAAAGTTTCTCGAAAAACTGCTTTTTAAGGGAGTCTGGTGGAATCGATTTATTACATTGTGGTTCGAGTGTCCGTTTCTTGGCTAGTTGGTCTGCATTTTCATTGCCATTGATTCCCACATGCGAAGGGATCCACTGGAACATAATAATTTAGTTGGCATTCTCAAGAAAAATCAAATTATCTCTAATTTTTCTGAAACAGTTTGAGTATCTGAATCATGGTTTATGGCAACTGCCTGGGTAGCTGCCTTAGAGTCGACAAGGATTACTGCTTTAGTGAAGTAATTGATCTAATTCTTAAGGTTTTCCAGGGCTAGCGAAGATCTCTGCATCAAAAGTTGACCTAGAGTATCCCACAGGGGAGCTGAGCTGTGAGAAAAGAGCTTACTGTGTACTCCTGCTCCGGTGCTGCCTTGTATTTTTGAGCCGTTAGTGTACACTATGCAATTAAACTGCACACCATTAATTTAGGATCAGAGATAATTACTGTCCTACAAATATGGAAGTTTTTGAACACTTAGTACTCTTCTTTGTTTCTAGTTACTTGATAACATTTCTGTTCCCAAACAATTGAACTTTAAGATTTAATGCAAAATAAAATGAAACACAAATAAATTTGACATATTTTATTAAGTTTAAACATATTCACACTATTTTTGGTAATTTGGAAAACATTTTGTACATAGTTACATTACACTTCATGCAAAATGTAAGAGGTTTTCCCGAACAATTTTGCATTTGACATTGTCTTTGTTTTTCTTTTTTACCAAGTATATGGAAGACTCGAGATGAAATTGCATAACTTGGTCTACCGTTTTGTTTTTGTCATGCGTTTCATTTTTTTAGACAGTATTGCAATATGTCTACTTATTTCTTTGATACTCTTTTTCTCTGCATTTACCATGTTGTAAATAACGCGGGTATTTACAACAGCCATGTCTACAATTCGGGTAAAAAGTGGCTAATACCATTTTTTCCCCACGGATTTTTATGGTATGTTTTTCTAAAAGCCAATCGTGAGAATCTATACCACCGTGTTTTTGTTACATATCTATATTTTAAACAAGCTGATATGTTGGCAGAAAAAGGCACAAAAATAACCAACTGCATCAAAAATTTAATGTGGAAAAATTGGAAAGTGTCCCTTTCGTCCCTTATATCCCTGAAAAGTTGGGGGAACATTTAAGACCGGGGCATTTCAGGCAGACCTCGTGAAAAGGCTGTGGCAGAATTTAGACTTGCGTTCGGTCATGACTGTCTTGTGCACTATATTTATATTACTTTTATATAAATGATTTTTTTACATTACAGTATAGGACCCAAAATTCAGCACTTACGGAACCGACGAAATTTCGGAATTTGCAGAATTTCGGATCTCTTCCGGAGATTCCAATATGGCGCCCGTATATTACGATAATTCAATTACGCTGTTAATTTCAGAAAAACCAATAAATTTAGCTACGTTTCAATTGTAGATTATGATGGAGTGAATTTAAAAACGTCCCATCTTTAGAAATTTCATTAATTAAAATAATAATCTATAAGATATAATCAAGAAGAAATAATCCGAAGGATAAATAATTCAAGATGAAATAATCCGAAAAAGAAATAATCGTTTCTTCTTCAGAGCGAGATCATTGTTCTCGTTTTTTCTTTTACATAACATTTTGTTTTAACAAAAGACGCT